AAAATTTATTCTAAATAAAAATATTATTAAATAAAATTAATAATAACTAAGTTTTGTTTGTTCCAACTAAAATAAATCTGAAAAATAGAAATAACAAAATAAATCCTAAATGGAAATGAAAGTAATATCATTTTGATCCTTGCATCACAAAAGCTGCAGTCTGTTGGAGTTGTGATTCAGATAGTTTAATCCCAGAAACATTTTCGTTTTCGCTTCCTGCATTCTTGTATTCATTAACTTGATTCTGCAAATCTTCAACCAAATTGTGTAACTAATTAATTAAATCGTCTTGCATTTTTATAGTATCACCCATATTTGAAATCCTCTTCTCCAAATCATCAGCACGTTTTGTCGCCTGTTCTTCACGTGCTTTAATTAATTCTTGTTCCATATAGCGATTCGAAAGTCCTCCTAACCCAAGACCTCGGGCATATCCTCCTTTGAGTCGTCCTAACCCCTGCCTAAAATGTTCTATGAGTGGAATAGGAGCTGAGGAAATTTCTTCAGCATTTTCCACTTCAACAATTTGAAGTTGTTCCTATAGGAAAAAGAAGATAAATTATTATAAAAAATAGCAAATGAATATATAAAAATGATACAAATAATTACCAAAATTCTTTCCCCTTCAGGAACTTTCCACTGCTTGTTTGCATTCAATCCTCTCGCTTCCCATACTTTTGAAGCAGAAGGCAATGTTTTTGTTTCTGACCCTTCTTTCTATTATGACAATGAAAGGAAATCAATAAAAATTTATACATTAATCAAGATAGAATATATATACAAAACTATTACTTATTGAAAATTTAAAAATGAGTAATTACCAATTCATGAACAATTTGGATAATTGATTTTGTGCCAGTAGTGAATGGGATTTGAACCTTCATCCTATTAAGACTATTTTTATTACTGTTGTCCTGCAATTTGATACATAAAATTTAAATACTATGATTTATAGAATAGTAGAGTAAAAAGAAATAAATAATATTTAAATATTTAAAATTAAAAATAAAATAATAAATATTAACATACCTTGAATTTGTCAGTTTCCCATTTGTTCTGAATTAATCAATTCCACTCAGTTTCTTCAACATAATTTGGACGAATTCTTTTTGTACGATATTCTTTATATAATTTATTATGTCGTGCCTTGAACTGAGTTTGGCATTGTTTCATCACAATATTGCGAGCATTCTCATCTAACTTGAATTTACGCTGAAAAATTAACATAAAATTAAATTAATTAGAATCATTTAATGAAATATTACAAATTAACTTTTAATATATTTATCTAACAAAATGAAAATAGCAGTACCTTAAAACATGAGAGTAAAATAACCCCTTATTTACTTTACTACTGTCGGAAATATAAAATTGCATAGGAATATATATGCATTTAAAGGGGATTGAAATGTCCAAGGCCGAGGTTAATTAGGTTTCAAAAGTTATTTATGTTTAGCTAGATGAAAGCAAAAAGAGGAACATTGGATTGTGAGCTTAACAGGTGGGTTTTAGGAATCCAGAAACTATCTTGCAAATGAAGAGGGTGAACGGTAAGCATCATTATAATCTTTATCTACTCATCTACTTAAAAAATAAAGAATAATAATAAGTAATTTATAGTTAAAAAGAAGTATTACCTTTAAAATTGTCCATATAAAGTTTTTAACATTCTCTTCAAGCTTGCTCCAACTCAAACAAGGCTTTGCAAAATGTCTGATACATATGCCAATTTCAGTTTTGAGAAGGGCTGCATCTTCTCCACACACTTTTTTAAATTCAGGAGGAAATTGAAGGTCTAAAGATCGACCTTTCTCCATCTTCTTCTTTAAAGCCATATTTTTGGATAAGCCACGACCATTTTTCCTCACAAGAATAGAATCTAAAAATAACAAAAATATAATTTAAAGTTATAATAAGAATACATAAAAAAAAATAAGTTAAATCAACTATTTTTTAATAAAGTATAAAAATACAAGTAAAACTAAACCTGTGTCAACTTGTTGTTCACATTCATTTGATGTAATATTAACATCCTCCATTTCCATAATCTGTAAAAAAAAATATTGTTATAAATAACATTAAAAGATAATATTATATTAAAAATTATAAAAAAAAAATCAATACTACTCTTCTTCATAATTAGATGCTAATATAAATATTAATTTAAAAATATATAAAATATGTAATATACTATTCATCTACAGTAACTGTAAAATGGCATAATACACTTTGGTAGTTTATGGAAATTAATCCAGAGGAAAAATTAACCGTATACCCTTATTTTTAATTTTTTCTTTTTTTTTTTTGGTATTCCTTCTCTGACCCCAACTGGTTCCCCTTCCCTTTTAAAAAATAGAACATTGCCTTTCCCTTCTCCCTCTAATACTTCTCACCCAGCCCTAACTGATTCCCCCCTTAAAATCAACCAAAAAACCAT